TCCCGTCCTGCCAGGCTTAGACTTGACTGACTGAAGAGGGACTGCTCGCAGTCTAAGAAATGACCATTTCAGGTACTTTTTAGGTGTCCGCGTCTGCTTAATAGAGGTGTCCGCTTAATAAAGGTTTCATTTAAGGTAAATAACAGAAATAAATTTGGGGACTTCGGCTACTGTCCGCTTAATAGAGGGTGTCCGCTTAATACGGTGTCCGCTTAATACAGGTTTTGGGTAGTACTTGGTGTAAGACTGCCCAAAATGTCCCGCGCCACCGCCCATTACTGTTAGTGCTGTAGTAGCTGTGCTCTAGTAGACGCAATAATACCTGTAGTAGCTATAGGTAATACAGGTACTACAGGTACTACAGCTACTACAGGTATTATTGCGTCTACTAGAGTACAGCTACTACAGCACTAACAGTAATTGGCGGTGGCCCGGGACATTTTGGACAGTCTTACACCAAGTACTACCCCAGGTTTCACTGTAGTTAAATGTTGAATGTTGAATGTTGAATGCGAAGTTGAATATTGAATAACGCGTTGCATGTCGAACATAAGTTGAATATTAAACGCATAGTTGAACACATAATACAAAACTACATATAAAATTAAATGAATTGAATATTGCTACATTTGGCTTGCCATATTAACATTTCAAAAATTGATATTCAAAAAAAAAATATTGCTTTTATGCCAACATAAATTTTAAGATTAGTTTGGTTTGTAAGTCTAAAGGCGTGAAGGGTCGTATAAAATATAATAGAAATAAAATAATTCGACCGTCATTGTGTGAATTAAATTCGACGTCTGAAACCTAGTCGTGCTTATGTTGTGCTGCAGTCGAGCTACAGTCGAGCCAGATTAGCACGGCACTGACGGCAGTACACGACGTTTGAAACAGGCTTTACTCCGGCCATAGCAGCTGCCATTAATCTGCGATCACGCTATTTTTAATTTGTTTCGCTTGGTTGAGAGCCAGCCTTTTTCTTAGAGTCGTTGTGTCTGTTAGGGGTCGTGAGTCTGAGCGATGGCTTTTGGTTACTTCGGCAACGAAGTTAGAAATTTCGTGACTTCTATCAGCCGATTTCAATATGTAAACAAAACAATGCATGTTTCGCTCGATCGCATGTGATTTAGACCGCCTGTATATGTCCGGAGCTCAATAGAGCAAAAATTGAGAGATAAATTTCCCACCAGTTAGCGTTTACTTGTATAATCTGAAAACAATCGACCGAACAACTCAAAATGCTTACCTCTGCTTGCTTAGGCTACATAAAATGGCGGCCTCGGAAGTGGGTGTAACACTGTGGAATAATACCGCAAAATTCCGAAAACAAGCTCCTCCATGTATGAGCCCCTCCAAATATAGGCCTTCCAAACTAAAAACCCTCCATTTAATCGCCCCTCCAAATATAAGCCCCTCGGAGGCTTGTACTTGGAAACTTGCCCTCAAATACAAGGTAAAACAAAGTAAGAACGGTATATTTCCTTCCAACTATAAGGCTAGCCCAATCGATTTTGAAACGCAAATTTCCCTCCGTAGATAAGCCCCTCCAAAATAAGACCCTCCAAAAATAAGCCCCTTTCAAAAGGGCCTTTGAAAAATATGAGCCCCGGGGCTTAGGGACTGAGCAATAATTATCAGGAGCGGGGAAGGGGGGGGGGGGGCATTACAAAAAATTGCGGCCAAAATGGGGGGGGGCCCAACGTAAAACACCTCATTATACGAAGGGGGGCCCTAAAGTTTTTTGCGAATTGTAAATAAAATAAAAAGCAAAAAAAAATTCTAAAAAAAGG